CCCCCCCGAAATTAACCAATCATCTCGTAGGTGCTCGTGAGAGAGCAGGTCGGCAGGCGCGTGCGCTGCGTCGCGCCGGCCGTGGGGTGGGCTAGCACCCGCACCCAGGACGGGAGCGTCGTCCTCGACCCCCTCGAGACCCAGGCCTTCCGACGCTGGGGGCGGCAGCGGCTCCACGTCGGCCTGTGCGGGCACGCCGTCCACTTCTCCTGCTGGGACGCCTACTTCCAGTCTCTGCTCGGCCGCTCGAACGCCAATCAGGTTCTACGGGGGGTGGGGGGGTCGGTGGGGGGGAATTGAGGAGGGGTGGGGGGTGCAATTTTCTCCCGTGATGGGACGGCTACTTCTGGTTTCTCCTCGGCCGCTCGAACCCCACGGCAGGAGGGGGGGGCGTACCGCTATGTTTTGCATTCCTTAGCGGTTAGACCATTGACCACGCGTCCTCGAGAGAACGGAACATTGTTCCCACAGGACCGATCGCCGATGGCCAATCGTTCCTTTCTACTTTGCCAAAGGTGGCTCAAAAATGTCTTCCCTAGTCTGTCTATCCTAACGATATCCCTTCCCGCGTTTTCAACCCACTTCCTACTCCCCAGTACAGCTACCGTCTTTTCCGCTCTATTCCATGCCTCAAACATCTCCCTGTACATCCCTTCTATTCATCCCCCAGCTCAGTCACGTACACTTCCCTCTCCTTTTTGTACCACTGTCATTCCGCGACTACATGAACACAGTCTTCGTATTCGAAGCCGCAGTCACATTTGAACTTGTCGTCTTCGTCGTCTACCGTCGTATGTCTTCGTCGATGTTCTCAAAGGAAGGGGGGGGGGGGGTAAACGCAAGGTTCTCCGGTGGGGGTGTACAGTAGGGATGCACTTCTTAGTGCCCCCGCCTTGGGACTCCTGCAAAGAGTCTGTACAGTGGCTCCCTTGCGTCTTGTTTTTAATGTTGTACCCTGGTCCTAGGCATGGCTCTTCTATCAACGAATTTTGTCTCTCAAGATCATGACGGTTGTGGAACGTGGAACGTGCATGGCGTTGCTAACAACATCGTCCTGCCCCGCCGCCGCCGCCCTGTTCCTCCTCCCTCCCTCCCTTCCTGCCTGTCCTGTTCCACGACAACCCTCAACAATAACAACAATAATAACAACGACAACGGCAACGACAACGGTGAACAACAACAGACGTTCGACGGACGCATGTCGGTGGACGTGAACCGCGCCGAATTCTTCTGCCCGCTGTGCAAGAGCCTCAGCAACACCCTGATCGCCCACATCCCGCCGGTGGCCCAGGCCTCCACCCTCTCCTCTTCAAATTCCAATCCAACCCCGGCGTCCAACGCGACGGGTAGCGCTACGACTACCGGTAGTGCAAACGACGCAGAGGCGGAGCGGCGCGCAGCGGAGAGGCTTAGCACGGCGGACGGGCTCGCGGAGTGGGTGCTGCTGGAGGAAGACGGTGGTGCAGGCGTTCTTACGCGGGGGCACGGCGGCGCGGCGGCGGAGGCGGCAGCGGTTACCCCCCGAGGTGATCGCGACGACGATGATGACGCGATGGAGCTCGATGAGGGGGGTGGAGGAGGCGTTGCGGCGGCGGCGGCTGCAGAGCGAGGGAAGGGGACGGCCGCGGCCGGGAAGCTGAAGGTGATTGGCAGAGCGAGCGGAGGGTCGCGGTATGCCGGTCTGTGATGTAGTCGGTGTTTGGTGGTCTTGCTAGCGTGTGTTCGTGACTTGCTGCTGCTGCCGTTCCTGCTGTTGTTGTTGTCGCCTCGCATCCGTATGTACCAACAACACCCCCTGCGTGGTGTTGTGGCATTCAAGGGACATGCTAGTAGTACAGCAGGACAACCAACATACCGTTGGCGTTGCCTTCAAGCCATACACGCATGTCTTGGTGTTGTGCGTGCCGCCGCCGGCGTAGTCCGTAAAGAACCATCTCGTCGGCAGGATAGCTATATACACCCCGTACGTAGCCTTCGGTTTCGTAGTTGGGTGGTACCCCCCCC